AACATTGCATGACAGTAAGATGTAACTGATAAAGCAGAGAGGATGCTGGAGAGCCCAACACAGAAAGTAGCTATGCTTGACCATAATAAAGATTTGAAAACTATCTTTCAGTATGTCAAATGGAATAAAAGATACCAACAACCTGATCATGTAGTAAAGCCCTTAGCAGTTAAATGATCCAAATTATATTGTAACTTACTGAAATAACAAGATAAATGCATAAAACTAACACCAAAAGATATAGAAATCTAGACATAATTATTGAAAGCTCAACATTTCTATGGTACCAGGTTTCAATAAGCTTATCTGATTGCTTAGTTATTCAAAATAAACATAGAGTAACTGCACAGAGATTCCAGAATAAATATTAATTTTCATTTTTTATTTTACAACTCTCCAAATTTCTGAATCTTACTAAAGTCGAAAGATTAGGTATCAGTATTGCAGGCTGAGCAGGAGCTGTGTAAATTCAAGATTTTAACACACAGATACAGATGTATCAGCTGGCTAAATTTCACTGTAGGTATAGGATGGCTCGGTATTAACAATAATTAGGGGAGGATGATTTTAGATAGTGATTGAAAAATTATTAAAAATTATAGAAATTCTAGAAAATGAGGATGATTCTAGAAAATCAGATTTGAAAAAGATGACCAAATATAAATTTTCCTGAATTAGAAAATAATAAGAGCATTTAAACATTATTAGGAATCTTTCCAATTTTAAGAGATTACAAACTTGAGCCCTAATAGAGAATGCAGCACAGTGTTACAGTTATACATGTTTTCCTGATGTGGGAGCTAATCTTTCTTTTGTTAATCTGATTTTATAAGGATTAAATGAAGAATTAAAAGAGACAACATTAATATTTTTCCAGCAGAACTCAACAGAAACTTTTTTACTAATCTGCTTAATATAGAATTAAAATATATTGTACCAACATCCTGAAAAAGAAAATCAACCCAGCCTTCACTCTTCTAGCAAGAATTTTCACTATTCCTTGCATGACAGAATTGTGAACCAATGGCAACTGTGTTTTAGGAAAAGTAAAATCCATCTTTCCTGGAAGTTTATCTTAATGAACTGAATTCATGGGTAGAAAAAAATACTATTTTTTTAATTGAGTGGGGCAGATTTTCTTCACATGCAAACAGTGTAAAAAATAGTCCAATCAGAAGTAGTGTCCATCTGACACAACTCTTCCTGAAAAATCTCTACAAATGTAGATCAGATTTATGTCAAAGTCCAAGCTATGCTGTCAGGTTTCAAAAGATAGGCTTCCTGTTCCTCCCAGGTGCAGAGTTAACACTGTATTTTTCACACTCATTGTAATTAAGAGTTGTGACTTATACCACACAGATACCTGAGTTCTTGAATGCCTCAACGTACTGGCTCATGCTAAACTCCACAAAAGCCAAAGGATTATAAAGTGGAAGAGGAAAAGACAATGAACTAACAAATACCAACACCTTACTGTCAGCTTAAAACATTTCTCCAATGCTGATGAAGTCTGTCCATATTCTACCAGCCACAGACTTTATGGACCCTTGACATACAAAATGATAGCCTTTGAAAAAATCTCTTCTCTCTCTCCAGCAAGCTGCATGGCTGCCCCCAACCCTGTCATAAATCTGCTAGTACAGTTGTGCATCCAACTTTCCAACATCTCTCTGTTTTTTGAGTTGTCAATTGTTGGCAGGATACAGCCTACGTAGTGGGTCAAGCCAGGGAGAGAATGTTATGCAAGGGCTTTGCAAGTTATGACAACTCCTCATTCAATCCTAAATATGCTGTAATTTTCTACAATGGATTTATAGAGCTCCTAACAGGGTAAAGGTCATAGAAGCCAAATTCTACCTCCTTGTCCTCCACCTCATGAGGTGACTTCTGCATGAGGTGATACCAAAGTCTAACTTTAGGCTGCAAGAAAATCAACCCCTTCCCTGGCCTTTCACAAGCTCTGCACTTCACAAAAGAAAATGGCTGGGAGATAATCCAGTTCCCACAACTTTTAGGCGATATCACAACACTTGGTATTTTACCAAAGCCTTCCCCAAAACAGAAGAAAATCTGCAGCATGACTAAAGTTTGTAGCTATTACTGAACTAATGACTTGGCTGGAGTATCTGAGGCAGCCAAGAGGCAGATTTTAATGTTCTGTATATGCTATGCATGCCGTAGCTATGATATTATGGCTATTGCTGTAGAAAAGCTGGACAACACACAGTGACAGAAATGAGATATCCCAAATATGCTCCTCCTGGAAATCAAATCCTCTTTTTGCTTTTGGTCCCCCAAGCAATGGTCAGCCAATTCTCCTTACTCAAGCACAGGGGTCCCCAAGACTCAACACTCCCCTCGTCCCTGGATCCTGTCCTTTACAAAGTTTTGCAACTTGGTTCTCCTAAATTGGTTGAAAATCTTCAACTCATCTACACCATCTCTTCTGAAACTTGGTTTCCTGTCTTAATCACAGTAGCCATTAGCAATCCCTCCACACTACTAATGCATAAATAAAATATCTCTGCCCACTAATCTACCAATAAATATCCACTACATTCATTTGCTAATTTATCTGAACAGATTTTTCTGGTCACTGCGACCAGAGCTCCCCAGGTGCCATCTCACTGGACGGGCGGCCATTAGCCATGGGCAGCTGGTCACGTACCTGTTTCTGCCTTACAGGGGTCCCAGCTGCCCTGGCCAAGCAGAACGAGCCACATAGGGTGGCCTGGGGAGAGGGGTGGGGGACACCCAGATGTGGGGATGCATTCAGAGCTCGGGGTGCAGTTACTGGACCTGATGTGCAGAGGGTCCAGGCAGAAATAAAGTGCAGCTGGTACCAAAAATGTGGCTGTGTCATGGTCCAGCCAAGGATCCCTCAAGACGCCGCCCGTCCCTGGTGCTGGCGGAGGCATTGACCCTTCCCTCTGACTGCTCTGACCCAATCCAGAGGTGCCTCCAGCTGCAATGCCTTTCATGGCACCCAGTTGTCCCTTCCTTGGGACCCCTCATGTTCCACCCCAACTACCCCACGTAGCCTCCTTAGCTTCCCTCCTGCCTGCTCAGCCTGTGAGCCCTCATCCCTCTGCCCTCACCTTGGGAGCATGCACTTCCTCGTTCAACCTTAACACCTACTTGTGCCAGGGTTCCCACCAACTCTTTTCCCTCCCTCTCAGCAGAACCCACATCACTGACCCTCTGAGTCTGCTCGTATGTTCTGAGGTTAATTTGTCTGCCTTAACCCAGACTGTATGTATTTTAAGGGCAGACCCAGCCCCACACAGAGGTGATCTTCCCAAGAATGGCTTTATCATATGAGTAACTTTAATATACTTTAAAAAAATGGAAGCTTAGAAGTATTCTACTCTGTCACAGAATCTGCAAGAGGATGTACAGAGCAACCCTAATTGAGAATGCACTGAAAGGAAAGGTGAGGAGGAGGAGAGGGACAGGAAGGGGAAAAGATGGGCTGGAGTAGGCACAGATGTGTAATAATACTTCTTACAGGTATAAATTGAGAAATGAAGAGGATGAGCAAAAAGAAAATGTTTAAACTCAGGAAGACAGACCCATTTTCAGAGATGGAAAATGAGTATTTAGAACTCCTTGCAATAAGAGAGTGAATTATTTCACCTTCCCTGTATGAAACTGCCTTTGGGGCATATTCTTATCTCACTCTACAAAGATGCACAAAGTGAGTCCCTGAGCATAGAGAGGGGAACACACTGCAGAGCATGGCAAGACGAATGCCTGTGCACGGGCAGCATGAGGACACTTCAGACAACACCCCTGTCCCTTGCCATGCCAGGCTTTCAGAGGGGACAGGGAGCTGCTGTTTGGGCTTAGGCTTCAGCAATGCTTATGTGGGGTGGGCTTTTGGGGTTTTTTTTTTTGCCACAGGGCAGAGGTGCAAAATGCTACAGTATTTAACCAAAGAGCAATTAAATCTGCACTTCTGCTCATATGAAAGCTTCTTTATAAGCAAGAGTACCTATTTGTGCTCTTCCTGTACCTCCTTCTGGAGCACTGCATTGTGCAAAGTGGAGACAGGCTTCCTTTTACCAAAATCTCCTTTTCTTACTATTGTGCGTTGTGGAGCCACAGGCAAATGATTTCTAGCTTTGTCCTGCAAATATGGTACAGATATTTTATCACCAAGCACTTGATGGATGAATTCAAATGGGAAAAGCAGGAACTCAGAAGAATGGAATCTTACTAATAAATATTTCACAACATTATAGACTGCAACATATATCTTCAGATCCCATTTGCCACAATTGCTTACAGGTGACAGGTATGTCAGTTAGTGTAATACTCCTGGCAACCTGAGAAACATAGATTGGAATTGATGGCTATGTACTATTTTCCAGATGTAGTGCAGCTTGGTGCTATTATTTGCTTGTAACAAGCATCTCTTCCAAGATTAAAGCACCTACAAATGCCTCAGTGTCTCCAAAATTACAAGAGGTTAGTTTGTTAAACATTTAATCTATGCAACAAAATACAGGCTTCATGCAAGACAGATCTGAGTACAGACTGATTATTCTATCATAGCATTACTAACTATTATTGCTGCTGTGTATGAAAATGTCAAAACCCAGAAATTCTCAGATGTATTTTTCTAGGTAAAATATGTCATATGAAATTCAGCTTACTCAGATGCTCCTACTTTTAGAAATAAAACTGATTTGAAAAGAAAATAAATGTTTAAAAAGTGTCATGGCAATACGGCTTACTTAATTAATAACTAGCTGGTTTATTTTTAATTGCTCATGTACCTCTTCAAACTCAGCCTAGGTCAGCCACGGAGGAAAACAGCTACCAGCTGCTGGCAGCTGCACAGGCTGTGCAGGATGGACATGTTTCTCACAGCCGATGGATGGGGTCTCAAATCAGAGAATACATTACCACAGATGGCACAACTGTGTGCCCGTGACTGGCATCCCCAACAGTCACAGCAGAGAGGCCAAGGGCACGTTTCTGAATTACTCTCTTACCCCTAAAGGTGGTCTCTCTAGGTCAGGGTTGAGGCACATTTGTGGGGCAATGTGAGGAAGTTTGCATTGCTGCTGCCCGTGCTGTAACTGCTCTACAAATAAATAGAGGACTTTAGTCTCCAGGGCTGTCAGTTTGGCACCTTCCATGTGCACAAAATACACTTTTTTTTTTTTTTTATTTGTTTAGAAACAACCACCCAAAAAGTTATATGCAAAGCCTAGTATGATGAAACAAAATAAATCAAATTTATTGTTTGAGAGCACCTAAAATCCCACAACTTCCACTCGCTCTCTCTTTCTTTTGTGTTTTCTACTTTTAATTGTGATAAGAATAAAAGTTATGGACCTCTTTCGGTGTTTCTTGATGACAACGGTTGCTGTTCCACCACAACTCCAATGCTGCCACCAAGCACGCAAGAAGAAGGCCTATTGCTAAAATGCAGAAAACACCTGCAAAACTGTGAAGCTTGAGTGCCTTCCCATCTGTCTGTGCATTGGTATGGCTATTCAGGTCACAACGTCCCATCCGTGGCCACCATTTCTGTTTAAGAACATCCAAATCTCCGCTTTCTTGCAACTCTAGGATCCTGTGGAAATTTCAAAATACAAATATTATTTTCAGTGATACTTTTTAATAGGTTTTTTTGGTGTTTTCTATATGTTGTGTAACTATTAAATCTACAATCCCACAATTCAAAACTCCATCCCAACACCACCACCGTATAGTAGTCTTCATCTGAAACTCCATTATAGCAGGATTTCTTTCTACTCACAGCAGCGGGTAAACTCTGCTGGATAACTTTAGTAAAAGAAGAGACTGTAAAAAATTCCACTGCAATGCAAGAAGCATTTCCAAGGGAAATCGACATATTCCATTTAGTCATGGCTGATCTGGCTACATTCAGCTGCAACAGCTGGTTCCTCTAGCAAAATGCTCAACCCACTCCACTGCTGTTCTCCCACAATAATTCCAAAATCATGTGAGACTAAACATGCTACTATTTGTGTGCCACTTAATACAAATCTGTTTAAGCTGCAACCAACTCATTTAATTCAACAAATGTAGTCTATTCAAAAGGATTTTACTTCAATGCTGTTACTTCATGCCTGAATTACTGTGTTAACAGTTGCTAATTAATCATTGTTTTGTCTCTTGTGAAGTGTCCCTTCTCTCCATGAATGATTAATTTTGGATTTGGTTTGATAACTGTTTTAGCTGTTTACTAACAATCTTTTCTCTTGAGGCAGCTTTGTCTCTGGTTATGCAGCTGGAGTTTTACTGCTTTTTATAAAGAATGAGTGAGATGGGGAAATCTTGCTGCAGCTCCCTGCCTGGAGCATAGCACCAACTCACCTTCTGCTAAGGCCACACATGCCTGCACAACTGCATGTCTTCATTTTAGTGTACACATTCACATGAAAATTATATTCCTAGCTGGTAGCTCAGAGATCACTAAATGGCATAGTTTTACAGTCTCATAGGGTTGGCAATCCCATGCAATACTCGGCAATTCCTGTTTTCCTATACTGTTGTGAGGTTTTGACCTGTCTCTCTACCCAAAAGGAAAAAACAGGGCATTGTTACTTGCTTACTGTTGGGAGTAACACATTGCTTCATAGCCTGCAAAATGTAGCATGAATCAAAGATCTCTCTTCAACCTCTCCTCTAACTCATACAAAGCTCTGAGGACATCCATCCTTTTTCTGCCAGAGGCAGTGCTGCCTGGAGGTGTGAGGTCACACACAACCTCTGGTACCCTCCTCCCTGAGCAGATGCACGTGAAGCAGAAGTAGCAGCTTTGTTGAAGCCTGAACTCATAACCTTTCTGCTGTCACTTACTGTTATTTATTCAATAATTGCTGAAATTAATGTGAACCACAAATGGGATGCCATGCTGGCTGTAGAGAGAAATCTTATAAAACAAGCTTTTTTTCAGTTTACCTCTGAGAGAAAAGATCTCTGTAGGGGCTTCCATGCTGGAGTGCTATTCCATATCCTTTGCTGCTGATGCTGTTTCCAATGACTGTCACAGAGCATTCATCATCCGTCAGTGCAGCATATTCCACCACTGTCACATCCCACAGGAAAGCATAGTTTCCTTTCTTTGCCTGTAAATACATCATGAACACAACAAAATCTAAACTAAACTACATTTCTAGGTAGGACAAAAACCAAGCAAACAAACAAATGCTTAGCTTGTCATTACTCCATGGCAGTATGTCATTGGGTCATAGTTTACCTGTAAACCTCCAACATCTTAATATATTTCTAATGCTTTTTGCTCCCAACAGTACTTCATCCACATCAAACCTTGATAAAATATCTTCCATTTTTAATAGGAATACATAGGATAACATAGCAAACTGTAAGTGCAGTCAAGGCTTAAATAACAGGTAATTGATTATAAATGAAAGCTATTGCCTTAGCTAATTAAATTTGAAGTATGTTTAGTAGGATACATGGATTAACAGGAGTGTGACTGGTTCCATACATTTATGTAACTAGATGGGCACAGTATGAGCACTAAGTGGTTTTTCCTAGACATCACAGTCACCAAAATGGTAACTTTACAGCTTTCCACATTATAAATATGTAAAGAAACAAAGCCTCTTCTAAGAGCTATGTTAATCCTGTAACAAAAGGCATAAATTTAGCTTAAAGAGTGGCCTTTTTTTTTTTTTTTTTTACCCCCCACAGGTAGGAAGAGTCACCAGTATCTCTTATTTGGGACAATTATTGTTTTATTTTAGCACACACCCATGCAGATGCCCTTAAATACTCATCTTAATTGAGATTCAAACCAATGTCTACACACAGTGTGTACAATGAATGCAAGTCACCTTACTCAACATATGATGTAAGAAACATCTCTGGATAGGAATTCAGTAAAGAAAAAAGACATCATTTTTTTTGGTTAATCATTGGTTTCTTAGTATATTTAAGCATTATGTTTTTAAGTCTCTAGTGAACATACAGAGAACAGATGGGCTGGAACATCTAATGCAAATAAATATAAATGAGTAGTCATGAATGTAGACTTCCAAGACTTTTTTTTTTTTTTTTTTTAACTTTGAGTTATTTCAGATCTTTCTTTACGTCAGACAAAAGGAAGGCAGGGAGCTGAAATACTACATATATTTCTTTATGGGAACTGAATTACCAAGCTCCCTTAGCAAAGGGCTGCAGCTCTGATACAGAATTAGTTCATCCTTCTGAATATTTTCCATTTTTGTGTAAGCTTAGTTTTGAATTCACCTGTAAGCCTTTAAGACTCCTATACTTACTTTATTGTATTGGAAGCCTCAGTTGAGCAATTAAACTAATTTTATTTCACCATGCTTTGAAAAAAATCATAGCTTCCTGAAGTTGTTTAAACATGACAATAAATCAAATTGGTAAGTTATCCTGTAGAGGATAGAATCCAGGGAAACAAACATTAGAAATACGTTTGAATTTTCAGTAAGCTTCTTGACACAATCCACTTCTCTCCTTCCCTTCCCTTTTATCTGCATCAAGACAATTAAATATCTCCAAATGCATTTGCCTCTGAGTTAAACCAGAGTAAAAATGTTATCTCCCTGCTCTTTCATAAGATTTAAATGAGCCTGTACTGAACACTTTGAAAACAATTTTTTGTCAAGGATATGCCACCATTGTGGATTTGTTCCCACTTTCTCCTTTGCCACCTCCCCAGTCAGTTCAGAGTGACAGTAATTAATGCATCTAATAGCCTAGACAACTATTGCTATACTAGTTTAAAACATAATTAAAATCTAAACTAGAGTATGAGCCTTACAGGAGTTATTCAAATACGAGCCACAAAACTCTACTGTTAAAATCATACATGCTGACACAAGTTATTAAACTAGAATGTTCATAGAAGTATCTCTTGCTTAAATGTCACCGTATGAAACCAGACCATAGCAAAACTTCCACATGTGCATTGTAATACTAAACCTGGCTATCTACCTAAAATGGCAATGGTGGTGTAAAGAGGAATGAACAAACAAATCACTCTTTAGTATATGCGACAGCCAGAAAAGCTTCATTACTTAACAACACAAGGATGCATAAAAAATTAAGGATGGCAAGGGAGTGATTCCTCGAGGCATTGAGACTATATTCAGCCAGCAACCCACATTCTTGGGAGCCTAAAATGTGCTTTTCAAAGGTATTTTCTGAATGATCATGTACCCATAACTAGCTGGGTTTTTAGCTGCAAATCTCTGCATCCTGACTTCTGCTCTTCCTGTGATGGGCTTTAAGGATTCACATTTTATGCTTTCACATCTGTGATAGTGCTGATAGGCCTCCCACATGGTTAAGGACAACAGGCAATGGGTATCAGGCCTATTGGTGTTTCTGACAGGGAAGGACCAACAAAATCCCTATTTTTGCACATCTCAGGCAGGTTGTGTTCTATGGTAAATAGTACATAGGCTTTTGCTACCTATGATAGAAAACAGTCCAGGTTCAAGTGTGTTTAAAATAGGTACTCATGGGACCAAAGACAACAACATTTCTTACTGTACACATAATTTATACAAAAATCTATGTTATTAGAGAACAAAAACTTGTATGACAGATGTACAGGGACAGGAGACCCAGAAAAGGTTTTGCCTAAATCACTGCACTAAAATGTGTCTTGATTTTTCTGATTGTTTTTCATATGTTTGTTTTAAATAGCTGTATCTTTTAGTTGTTTCAGAATTGCTCTCTAAATAATCTTTTCAAATTTACAATTTACAAAAGAAGAACAGCAACAACATATCATACAGTTCTCATCTTTTTCTTAGTAATACTTGAGGAACACAGTCTTCCTACTACTTTTTAGAAGTAGTTTAAACTTTTAATTTTTGTCACATGAAAGAATGCATGCATGCACATGTTCATACCCCTTAGCTTCCAGGCCAGGGGGCTACTGGAGGTAGGAAAACTAAGAACTGCAGGAAACACCTGGCACTGACCCATGGGATGTATGAGCAGGAAACATATCAAGCCTCCCTAGGTGCATATGACACAGTACCTACCCATGCAACCAAGTCCTGACCACACTACAACAAAGATCCATATCCTCAGGCTCTTGCATTCACAGCTCAGCCATCTAAAGCCTGCACTGTATGTTTTTAGGGCCCAGAAGAGAATAAAAATGTTCTAGTGATCAGACATCATTGCAAAAATAATATATAGAGAGAAGTGGTAAAAGGGAATGCAGTAAACATCAGCTGAGAATAGGTAAGATAGCTCAAATAAAGAAAGACTGAAGTGAAACACAGACTAATAAGCTAAAATTTATACTTTAGACTTTTAATTGGCTTTCATATTTTGCTCCTTTACTATGACCTTATTTTTACTCTCAGTGTGCAGGCATATTGCAGAACAAAATAAAAATAGTTTGGTTAAACTTTCAAAAACCTCTTTAACAGAAATTTAGCCAAAGCAGAACTTACTTATTCGACCCAGGTGGTACTACTATAGTAGTAGTAGTTCACACTAAAGACACCAGATTTATCTTTGGTTGAAGACTTTTAAGAAAACAGATTTAAGGAAAAATGAACAACCTAGGCAAAACTTATATTTCTTCTTCACAATCATAAAAATTTAAAAGGCCAAGGAAGATTGCCTTCTAGGTATAAGAAGGACCACAAAGGGAATAGTAATACTTCAGGAAAGCAGTAAGTAACCTCATAATGTCACTCTTCAACACAGAGGGAGGTGGAAAAAAAAATGTTTGAAGGATTTTGGTTTACTAATAGAAAAAATATGGGTGTTCAAAGAAAGCATGGTGAGAAATAATACTAACTTGAAAAAGGGTGAATTTCAGACTAAACACTAATATGTCTGTGATTTATCTGAAACTTCTGAAGAAGCTACCATACTAAAGACAAAAGTAAGAGAATAATGCAACATGCATCATTAACTTACTGCCAGAACAGAGTGTCACTGTAGCTGATCCCATTATGTGGCTGGTACCACAGATCAAAAAGTGACCTTTACATTGGCATTAGTGGAATAGTTCAAAAACATGTTTGAGTAACATCTATTATCTATAAAAAAGTGCTTTGAGAGAAGCAACACAGTGCTAATGAAAATAAAACATCTAATCATGTTCAAATTATTTAAAAATTAATGTAATCTAGGAGCTACTAAAGGATGTAATATATTCAGGCTTTAAGGAATCATTTGCTTTTAAAGGCTGATGGGTCAAGAAATGGAGAAATTTATGAAGATCCATGAAAATATATGGATGAGCAACCACAATTCACAATATATAATTCATTGTGAGCAATAAATTATTGGAAAAAATAGTTTTTAAAAATCCTATTTTTTTAAGTTTTAAATTACTTTAGTCTCAAAATGAGACTCAAAATGCTCTGATTTACTGTTTAGTGTTCATTAAGGGAAACAAACTTTTTGAAAGAAGCAAAAAAGAGAAGCCATAAACTCAATGTAACATTGCTCAAATCAATTATATATTCACATTTTGTACTATACTTGGTTTTGATCACTTCATCAAAAGTGATATAGAGGAAGAAAAGAAAGAATTCAGAGTAATTTTGGCACAAAATTCATTGGACAGGGGAACAAACGGTGTCCACCAAAGCTAGACTTTTTTAAAAAATACAGTAACAGTCTAGGTCTCCTATGAATTATCTATAAATATATATAAATATTTATATATATATATGGGAATGCATCGGGATCATATTTCATCATTCATTCAAAGCAAAAATGGCTGCCCACAATGAAAAAAGCCACAGGTTATTACATATGGTGTGGTAACTGACAATTACTCTGGAGAAGTGATTGCCATTGGGTGTTATTCAAATACTTTTCTGAGATTTACAAATGGCTTAAAAATGTGTGCGATTCCAATGCCAATGTCCACCTGGGATAAGACAGCAGAAGCTACCTATTGCATGTTTCTTGGGGATCCTGGCTGTAGCCTGACCTAGAAAGAAACTTAGTTCATCCTTGTCTGTTAAAGTACCAAAAAGGTTAAGTGACAAAATAGTATTTTGTATGGACTAGTGATATGTCTGGAAACCCCCTTTTATGCTATATATAGATGTTTATGAATAGGAGGATGTTTTCCATCTGCAATGGCCACTTTCTATTGCCTTGGGAATACAACAAAAGCAACTTGCCCCTCCGGTTCTGAAGTATCCTTCTGTCACTTATGTGACTTTGCAGTGAGTTAATACCCTTTCCATGGCTCCACTAGTGTTGCAAAAGCTGTGCATTAACGATGGGAGATGGTCACTGTGGCTACAGGGATTGTGCTTTGTCTGCAGAGACCTCTGCCATGGCAACCAAATGCCAAAGAAGCTTTCAGGACTTTCTTCTACTATTATCCTTTGGGTTTTAGGCAGTCAAAGGGAGTAGGAAAATCTCTGGCAAATGGAGAGAGGTAAATGGAATAAAGATAAACACCTGAAATACCTGCCTGTACCACAAATAAGCTTCACTCTCTTGTTTTGCACTGAAGAAGCATTGTTCCGTCTGTAACTGCAGCTGAACTGTGATGCTGCCTGAAGAAAATGGAAAGGGGAAAGAGGATAGAAAATGTAGTAGTGGGGTTTTTTTGCATTGTGTTGGGCAAGTCCCCATTCAGAATAATTTTTTAGAGATCTTATGCTAGAGACATTTAGATTTCTCATTTCCTTTAAAGTATATTTTTAAGGCACATTTATATCTTTCATGCAACAGTACATGTTTCTCATAGAAACATAGAACATATTGGGTTGGAAGGGATGTTCAAAGACACCAAGTCCAACTCCCCTGCAGTAAGCAGGGACATTTTTACTAGAGTAGGTTGCTCAGAGCCCCATCATGCCTGACCTGGGATGGGAAGCCCTGTTTCCTTGGCTGACATCAATTCTCCTTTAGAATAAACAGAATTTGTAGCCATTATACTTGACATGGAAAACTTGTCTATTCAAAGAGCTCAATGATCTAGGAAGAGTGACATTTAAACTATAAACACAACAGTTTAGTTGACAATTAAATATTAAGCCAAATTTACGTAGGTGTTTAATGGAAAAGTAGCCTTGGTCAGCTTTGGGGACTGAAGTAAATTTGGTTATTTTTGATGTTAATTGAATGAGCTGATCAAGTTATACAAAAATCACCCTACAATATTGAAATCAAACTTAATATGAAATCTTATTATCACAAAGACAGGATGGAGCTGCCAGCTCCATACAGACAATATAATTGGTATTATAAACAGCCTGCCAATCTACAGTTACATTTCTGGTTTAGGCAATTCTAGCTATCAAAAATGGCAGCATGCAGTGTTCTTACAGAATAAAAGTATTTACAATCTCATGGCTAAAAAACATCCACTGATATAAGAATTGTAAAAAAGAAAAAAAAAAAGTAAAATACTGTGCTTTTTTCTAAGGTGAACTGTTTTATTATTAATTTTAATTCTAGAGTACATAGAAAAGTGCTTAATGTCTCTATTTCTACCTCCTTTAAATGCTAACAAAGTCTCTTAAAATAGAGGCCTCATTTTCATAAAGTGCTGAGCAGATAAAAAAAAAATCAACACACTACAGACTTTGCCATTGTCAGAGTTCTAACTTGAACCAAGAAAGAAAGGCTATTATAGCTGAGGGCAGAGGGCTTTAGGAAAGCTCCACTGGGAGATGGGAGAAAAGGCAGGGTGAACCAAAACTATTGACTAAATACTCCTATGCTGAGAAGACACAAGAGTGTCTTTTTAAGAATTTTGTCTGAAAGTCACACACACAGTTGCCAACCTTATGTTAGAGGACTTTGATTTGGGAAATAGGATGGCCTGTGTCCCTCTGTAAAAACCAAAGTAAATTTTGGATCCTTACCCTCTAACTGTTCAGAAAAGGTTTCAAAGACAAAAACAGAAACCCAAGTCCAAAAATGTTATTATTTCCCATTTACAAAAGCATAAAGAACTAGTAATATATTTATCCAGAATCAGTGTTTCACTGACAACAGATGAACTCTCATCAAACCATCACTACATTAATAAGAGCTGTCAGCTTGTTTTGTGTTAAGAATCAATTGACAAATAAAGGGGTCACTTTTCACTAAAGGAGCAGCACATTAAACTTTCACTGACTACTTCTGCATCCCTTCTGCCATAAGGTACTCCTGCACACATGTGGTTTGATGTTATTTACTATCTGTTTTTGCTGAGCTACAAGATGGGAAGCAGAGAAGAGAGGCGGACTTAAAGTGAGAAAGTGTGAATATTGGTATTTGTGTGATCTGAACCACTGCTGTTTATCACAGGACCCAGCACAATGATGTAGGTTCCCAAGCTATTATATATCAGTCCTTGAATCCCACATCAATGCTCATGTGCAGTCATATCTGAGAGAAATAGAAGTTAGGTGAAAGCACAGTGACATGTGAAAGAGTATAAGCCTTTTTACAATTTGGAATACACAAAGAAAACCTCGCATTAAATTTCTGTTCTAAGAGAAATGAGTATACGTTCAGTGAATCCCTTGATTCTTACTCATGTTTCCAGTAAGTTCAATCCATCAACTCAGAAAAAAACCCCACTCAAATAAGCAAAGCACAAGAGTCAGTACCTGGATAATATAGAGAATGACATTCAAAATGGTATTATCGGAGCTCCAAGGAAACTTAGAAACCTGATGACCAGATACAAAGTAGGACTTGTATACTGAAGACTTAGGTAGAGCTAAGGTACTTAAATTCAAAGCTATGACCCCAGAATATGATTCTTATCCGCTATTAAGTTACTAAAAGGAACTTTAGATAGGGATTTTTTTTAATTACTATGTAATTGCTTTCCTGTGACTTAACATTATTAGCTCCACGCAAACAACCTTGATACAACACAAAAACTAAATGAAAACCCCTGTGATCCAGTCTTACCTTCCTGATGCCTTCAGAAGGGTTCGATACACAATTATCTGCCCCATTATTCTTGCTGATAGTCCTCCACAGTTCAGCAAAGGTGTTGTCCTGCTCCAAAGGGTTTGTCCCTTTTGCTTTAAAGTATTCATACACTGCTGAATCCCTGACTGTACCATAAGATATATCCATCTGTTTGGATAGATCCTGAAATGTTCTGAAATTCAAGTGATATTGAGATATTAGTATCACATAGTACATTACCAAGATTTCATTCATTAAAAGATTTCTTTCTATGTCTGTCATTAGTCAGAAAGCACATACCCTTACCAAGTAACATTTGTGTGTATCTTTCCTCATCGTAAAAGAAAATCAAGGAGTAATTTAATTGTATTGAGGTCATATCAGTTTAACTATTCCTAAGCTCTTTTTCACCCTGGTAAAGATTGATTTTTTTATTATTATTTTTTTTTTAACAGATAATATTGATGTTATGTATTACAATGCCAAGTTTGCACAAGAAGGTAGTGCAGTAAAGACTTACTTGAGCACAGGAAAAACTCAATTATAAATATAAAATCCAGCCCCATCAGCATCACCAGAAATACCTTGCAGAATTCAGTGGAATTAGTTTGCAGTTACATCAATACTCCAAATCAATACGACTGTTTTAAAAAAAAACAAACAAGTAAGAGTCTTGCTTCCAATTTCCACTAAGTCTCTCTCTCTCTTCACAGCCTCTGGTAAAGCAAGCATTTTTCATTCACACACAGGCCTAACTTTCATTTACTCATCATACCACTCTGGAAGTGTAAATGGGCCTCAACACGAGTGGCTGTGAATGCACCATTTATTTTCAAATTGTACAGAATGTAATTCACACCTGTTTTACAGCCTTTTCTGCACAGAAAGGTGTAAATCACTGCCTGCATCAATGAAAACCAGGCCAAGTTTCTAAACATTTAAGGTGACATCACTGCTATCAGAAACATCCTAGCTGTTTTCCACCTTCAGGCATTCATTCCCATTCCTGTGCCTCCTTCCTTTGTCCTCAAGTATTGCTTCTGTACAGTGTCACCACATTTTTCATCTGACCATACACACACACATTCAACCACTGACCACCACATGCAGCACCAAGGACCAAACTGGATTTCATAAATAATGGTTTACTTTATGTTTTATAAATGTATTACTTCACATAATAATAATGACATGCTTCTGATATGACCAACTGACTAATGCTGTTTGAGATCAGTTAAACTAAAACCACCCTCCCTGCCTCTCCCTCCAATTATTTTTCCCAAAAACAATCTTTTAGAAAAAAAAAAAAAATCCCCCTCAAAACATCTGAAAGGCCCACTCATGCCACCTCTCACCGGCCTCCAGATCCTGGAGCCACAAAAGCAAAACATTTGGCCTTGCAGCTCTTGTAGAAGAGTTCTTCGGAATTCTCTTGAGAGTGAAATGAGAGAGAGCTTGGCCTGTGAGTCAAAGCTGTTTTCCACAGCTGAAGACTTGTCATAGCTAATATTTTTCTGACACCTCCTTCCCTGTTTCACTAGTGGGATGCCTATACCTCACATCCCTGTAAGATTCCCTACAACACTATTTAAAGCAAAGTGACCCAGGCATCTACACAATACTAAATAAAAATAAGTAGAAAACTCTTCCATCTTCTCCATCACGGTACCACCAGACCTCCCACGTTTGGATCAAAAAGGGTGGGAATACCTCTCCCACTCCCACCAAAACTCTTCAAACTCACAAGCTGCTTCAGACAGCTTAAGTGGTTTAAGTTCTTAAATTGTATTAAGGACTTTTTATCATTTTAAGCTGTTAAGCAGCTTTAAGTAAGACTGTGTGAACAGTTTTTTTCTCTATATACATTGCAAACCTGTGGATTTGGGCTAACTCTGGAGTTACATCAATCTCAAATCTGTTATTTCTCTAGCTCTGTGTATGATACTTTGGTAAAGTACAAAATGAACACGTTGGAGATTGCTAGAAATTAAAAATTTTAATGAAAAATTGGATAATTTTGTCAATTTTATTTCTCTGTTTAACAATCACAAAAGTTATATTCAGGTTTCCTAAATGTTTCCTCTACATTTCATTGAACAGGACCATTTTTACTCCAGTCTTTATCTAAACGATTACATGCTACATTTAATTCCATCTTTATTTTTTAAAATAAGTTTCATCATATCCCATGGAATTCCTTAAATCCTTGGGATGGATGATCTGGCTGTAAAAAGACACATTTCTGTCTATTCTAGGTACAAATGATGAAGAAAGGTACTCAATACACACAGGAGGGTTTCTGTAGCAGCCTTTTTCACACCAGGTTTGGCATACAGATTTCAGCATGTGTAGGAGTGCATGTTTGGTAGAAGCACAGTAGGAGAAACAAGTTTAGCTAATATTCTTCAACACAGCTTTCAGCTGATAACAACTTCAAAAATGCCTACTGCTCATGTTGCCATTCTGTTTGAAAGTTTGAATATTAAAATAAAAATAAGCCTGTAGTTTTAGTAATGTCAGTATTTTCTGGACCACTTCTACTGCCTCTACTGCTGTGGAAGGTTTTTGTCAGAAATATGCCTTCTGTTTCAGCTAAATTGTATTTTATAGACAGTACTTTTGTTTTAGCTAAATTACATTTTTATTGACAATCAGTACTATACAAAAGCACAGTACATCTTGCTTTTTGAGGCACATATTTTCTTCAATTTTCTAAACATCACAGGGCACGGTGAGCAAACTTAGGGTTTAAATCAAGTTCTTTCTTGGCCCAATAAAGAGATAATTGGTACTGGTGCCCGGGAGGGAAGCATAACCTTTGCCTGGGTGCTACAAGACAAATACTGCTCCTTTAGCTGGTAGAATTTCCTTAGAAGAAATAATATGGAGTATTGCATGTCCTAAGGATTCCATGTGCCTTTCTTGCATTGCCCCATTTGATGTATTATAGAAACAGCCACTGACACAGGAAATCCTCCATACTGTACCACCATTGGAAACACCTTGTGGGATAGACAAATGATCACCAAAGGACACAGTGAGGGTCACAGTAGGTAAACAAGCTTATTATTGGTTCATGTAGTGTAAATTCAGAAGGATGGTGACTGTTTCAGTGAGAAAATAAATTTATGCCTTTAGCAAATGGACCACTTAGCCAAAAAACTATCTCAGGAATTATCCTGACAGAGAATGGTCTAGACCACAGTTCTTACTCAGTATAAATAAAATGTTTCTGTAGTGTATTTATGCACTGAAAATGGAGGTGATGCTTAGCATCTCCATGACCAGGGAAGTGATCAAACGATCTGGATAGGGCAAGTATAGTCACATACATAAAAGACACTGAATGGAGATTTGTATCTCCTGGCTTTTACAGGATGGATGAAGATAATCACAAGTGCAGGTTTTAACTACATTTATTTTAACTCCCTTACATCTGCCATCACTAGACAAAATCATTCACTGCCACATTTCAGATATTGTTTATATCTTACAATTGTGCCATTCTCTAAAGGCAGCTTCTCTCATCGTTATTAGACTTTATTTTTGCAACCAACCATTAGCTGGTCTCACCTTCTTTAGCTATTTAATATCTTGTCTCTCCCATGGCAAAGATTTCATGCATTTAATATATAAAATTATTTGCAACAAAAATGTGCAGCACAACAAGATGCCCCATTAACCTTACCACCTCAATTACTGCGTCTCACAACCCATTACGGACTCTCCGTAAGTGTCATTAAAGATAAAGCCAGTAAAGCAGAAAAAGCCAATGTTCCTCACTTACAGTTATAGAAGCCAAACTTCAATTTGTGGGTAAATGCATTCACTGTGTGATTGCTGTAATGGGCAAGTACTTGTAAACCAATTTATTTAAGTAAATGTATCTGTGGTCAACCTAACAAAAAATGATGTCCTTTAAAACTATATTACCAGCCAAAATATTTAACAGGTGTATTTAGTTATGCCTGCTAGATAAATGCAACAATTGATACGTGATTTCCAGTGGAGCTGCAGTTACTTCATGTAGAGTCAACTGAAAACTGGATTCTCCACTTGTTGTTTTTTTTTTTTTTTTTTGAAACATATTGAGATAAACCATATGCTGCAGAATAAATACTCAGGCAATAGCTGTGCTAGCATTTACAATTAGACCTCTAGAAATAATTGTTAGAATAACAATACTGGTTAAGTTACCCTTTTTGGATTTATTTTCTTACTAGTAAAAGATTTGTGTAGCTGTAGATACCTAGGCTAAAAATGTGCTGCCAATACAGGTTTATTTAAGTCTGGAACTACAATAAACCCAGGACTTTCTGCAAGAACAATAGGAACAAATTTTGTCTAAGTGACAGCCTAAACCTGTCACAAGGTGCTTTGAAGTAATTGCTGATCAATTAACTGAACTGGAGTCATCAGGTTCATCAGATGTGATCAAAGTATTTTAAATTTCTGAATTAAATTTTATTTCTTTTCAGAGCAAAATTTTTAATTTAATTAAGGTCTTTGAAAAAAAGGAAAAAAAATACTTGCTTATTGAGATTTTCCTCATCCTTACTATTAATATTTTTTAAAGTTTGTAGCAAGCTGCACATCTGGTCTCCTGTGTGTAAAGCCTATGACTGTAAACAAGCTAATCAGCTGTCACTGCAGTGACGTGCAGTACTGCTCTTTTACATCACAGTGTGGTGGTTTGAGTGGATTCACCCTTTTGCTTGCAGCTTGCAGCCAAACACAGCCTGCTCTATCTCAGCAGGGGAGAGAATTTGGAAAGAAGGGCAAGGACTCACGGGTTGAGATAAAAACTATTTACTAATTAAAAGAAAATGATAATGATAACAACAGTAATAACAGACTATACAAATGAGTGATATACAGTGATCACCGCCCACTGACCAATTCCCAGCCTGTGCCAGCTAACGATCCCGGAGCCGAGACGGTCCCGAACCGAAACCCCGGAAGAGTGAGCCCGAGCGATCCCCGAGAGAAGTGCCCCGTCTTCCGGTCAACCCTGGTTAATATACTGACATGACGTGATATGATATGGAATATTTCATTGGCACAACCAGATGCCAGTTTTTGGGTTTTGCCCCTCATTGCGCTTCCCCCTCCCAGTCCTGGTGCAGCTGTGAAACAAACAGCGTGGCCTTAAGCAGTAACTAAAAACATTGGTACTTTATCAGCGTTCTTCTC